TGGATTAGTTGTGATTCTACGAAAATCAAAATATACTTTATTCGTTAAGGATATACTTGAAGTTATTCTTAGACTTTATTTTGAGTGTAACAAAATCAAGGCGGCGTTTAAAATTTTATTGCCTCGCAGATTGATTGATGATTGCGGACTGGACTTGAATTCACCCACTTTGCCACTCTTTTCTCCTGCCACCCACAGATCTGCACAACGCGGGGAAGGGGCTCCAAGCACTGGCCACCTCCTCGTCGGCGTCCAGCTCCTCGTCCTCCTCCTGCTCCACCAGCAATCCGGCCATCAGTACGGCGCCCAGCAGTGTGGCCGTCTCGATGGCCAGCCACCTGGCCGCCTCCTCGCCGCACCACCACCCCCACACGCACGCCCACTCGCATCCGCACCCGCTGGCCCACCCACATCCTCATGCCCACGCCCACGGTCACCACCACGGCCACCACGTGGGAGCGCCTCCCACTTCCACGGCGGTGACGACGCACCACCACATGGCCCACCCGCACCCGCTGTCGCACCACCATGCCGCCCACCATGCGGCCCTGGCTAGCCTGAGCATGGCGGGTCTGCGCGCGGTTCCCGGTGGACTGAGCTTGGTGAGCGGACTCCAGGCGGCAGCCGCCGGCGGAGCCATCCCGGAGATGTGCCCCATATGCGGGCTGAAGCTAAGCGCCGAGGAGTGGCACACGCACTTCCTCACCGAGCTGGACAGGCTGTTCAAGCTGAGTGCGGGATTCGAGCGGGCCAATCTGCAGGCCACCTACATGTTCGCCCCGCCATGTCCGGCGCAGGAGAATGCTATTCGCACCAGTCACAACCGCTGGGAGGTGGGTCTCCTTTACAGGACTACATCACTCTTGATATAATGGTGTTCTTACGCCTTTCAGACCTTCCAAAGGATACGAAACAATCGCCAGAACCGCCTGAGACTCAAAGTGCGAAAGCGCAAGTACGGCGAGATGTACATGATGGAGAGCCTCTACTGCAGCAGCTGCCCGATCTGTAAGAGGAAGTACGCCCTGGAGACGGGGAAAATACCGCCAGAGGTGAGTTGGAAGAAAGATTTTATGCTTTTTATAATATATAAGGATGAGTAAAGGGACCCTGAATTGTAATATTTAATATAAATCCTTTTAAAATAATGACGAAATGCAAAAATCCCTTTCCCTGAACATAATTATTTCCATAAATTGCATTCAATAAACAGTAATAATAAATATATAAATAAATATAATATTTTGTAAATATATAAACTACACATAAATACTAAAGAATAATATATATAAATAGCTAATTTTAAATCATTTCCCCTTTCAGGACGATGCCAAATCTCAAGAGGAGATCGAGACAGTTGATGTGGAGAGCTGCAATGACGATGTGCCCGACTCGGGTTCTGAGCTACCTGGACCAGGATCAGGACCCTCGGGCGCTCTTCCCCCCTCCAGCATGCACAACAGCAACGCCCAGCCGGGGAAGCTGGATGGGATCCTTTACCGGACGGCCTGTGTGATCAATCAGAAGGATCCGCATGCCGACGAGCAGGATGTGAGCACCAATGTGACAACGGCCAGCAGCAGCAGTTGGGCGGGCGAGGTCAACGCACCACCCCAGGCACATATCAGTGGTGAGTCCTTATTCCAAGCTCATACACTCAGAGAAAATTCCGTTGTCCGTAAAATATTAAATATAATCAAAAACAGAGATCAAAATATTTTGGTTTACTTGTTTATATTCGAGAATCGAAAATCCAGAAGAAATTAAAATCAATATACATTTCTTTGGATTAATTTTGTATTCCTGATTTCTTCAAGTGCACAGCCCTATGCTAATTACGCTCCCTTACGCATTTAAACCCTCAGTGAAAACCGTCAGCGAGCTGTCATCCACCACACATCACTACTACAACGCCGATTCCTGTGGCGTGGGCGTTAACGACAACAACAGCAGCACCAACAGCAACAACAACAACACCAACAGCGGCACGGGTGGAGGTGGCAACAACAAGGACCTTATGATGGACACGGCCTCGTGTCAAAATGATAGCGATGAGGATGTGATTGTGGACGACGACGACACCGTGAAGGTGCCAAGCAAACTCAATTACAGCAAAATTCAACGTCGGCAGGAGGAGCAGAATGTGGGAAGCAGCAGGTCAGTTGGTCATCCATAGTTAAATCGAAAATATATAAGTCATTCGAGAGACATATATAACTTTTCCAATTCTTAAGTGTGACAGATATGGAAATAGCATACAGTTGCATCTTCACTATCTAATAACTTGCAACCAATTGAATTTGTTGTTTTTAATAAAGAACGTTTACACAAATATATATTATATTTTTTAATCTATACTACACGTAATCGTAAAAAATAACTTGATATTGGTGCAGATGCTAAGAATGTTGTCTCAAAAATCTCTTACATAGTCTTAGATTTACGTTTTTTTACGAAACGAAGGACGGACTAAATAAACGGCATGGCTAAATTAAATCGTCTGCTGCTGCTTTTTAAAAATACAAATAAAATCTCTCTTTTTGCAGATCCTTGGAGAACATCTCACCCGTGGATGAGAGACCCCGTTCGGAGCCGCAGGTGAGCAGCACCGAGCCAGGACCTATGGACATCTCCCACAGCAGCAGCAGCAACAACAACAACAACAACAACAATAATAATAACAACAGTAGCAGCAACAACAACAATCCGACATCGAAATATGTGGAGAGCATGGAGAACAGCCTGTCGCAGTTGTCATCAATGGGCGTGCCAGGATTAACGCAATTGGACACAAAGGTGGGGATTAGTTCGGATTTAAAACCGGACGATGAAAACAAATGTTTCATTTGTAAGGTAATTTCTCAGTTTGCTTCAGTTCTCAATTTTACCAAAGTCCAGCACGATCTAAGATTTCCCCCCTTTGTCAAACCCCCGTAACTTTATCTTTCCCTTCCTATATTTGCTACTAGCTTAATATGCACAATCTCCTTTCGAAGGTGGGACCCAGTAACAGCCATCCTAATCTTGATTATCTTCTCTTCTATCACCCCCCAAGACAGGCATAAAGGATCTCAACACGGATGCGTTCCTGCGCGGCCGCAACTTCTACTTCCACCAGAGTTGTGCCAATGTCATGAGCAGCTACCGCCTGAACAAGGAGCTCCTGAGCCAGGCCCAAAGTCAGCAGCAGCGGGCAGCCGGGAACGGAGGAGGAGGCGGGTCGAATGTCGCCGGTGAGGCGGTGGCCGCCACGGCAACGCCGCGCAGCTTGTCGCCCGCCCAGTCGCCCCAGCAGAGCGTGTCCCAGGCCATGGAGTAACTGGGGACATGCGAGGGTCGTCGGTCGAATTGATAATTGCAATCAAAGCGTGAATTTATTAAAATTAATTAATAAAATATTGTATTTGTGGTAGCTAATGAAGCGCGACGAGCAAATTGATGTTTAATCGGGCATCCCCAAAAGTAGGCTACCCGCCCGCTAAAGTAAAGAGAACTAATGAGAGGTCACTGTTTTTGCCCTGTAAAAACTCGACATGTATGTAGATTTCATATGCTTTCATTTTAAATGGAATTCGTTTTGTTTCTTTGTGTCTTTTTTAATGTAAAACCACATTTAGTGCAATTTTTGTGTTGCCTTCTCATCTGTCATATAAATACATATATGTGTATATGATGTATGTACTTAATTTAACAGTATGTATCTATTCGTAATTTCCCTGAACGTGCTATAATTGTTAAATGTTTAATAAAACATACGGTAAATGAGAATTATCATCTCTAAGCAAAAATTAGTTGTAAATTCTTAAGCCTATAAATTATTTATGAAAAATCAAATAAATATATGAAAATAAGTTCTAGAAACATGCGTTCTTTGTGGAAATAATTGAAATACTCAAGGTGAGGTATTGATTCTTATTCCTTTCTCATACACAAAGTGCGTTAAAATTGGGAGAGGCTATAAAAATGTCTCAATTTTAGGATTTAGGTACTAGCAGCATTGTGGGATTTTAAAATAATTATCAGGGAATTCCTAATTGATGCTGAAATTTATAAAAATATTTAACTTAACAGATCGGAAGGCAGAAAAGTTGAAAGTTGCTAGAAACATGTTGCGCAACACCCTCATGAAGGCAAATGTTGCTAAAGTCGAAAACACCCATTTTTATTATATTAAATGCATTAATATTATAATATAATATACATACTAGCAGAAAATTTTAAAAATGTAGTTATTTTTCCTAAATTTAAATTAATATATCCTCTTACTCAATGTACAATTCAATCTGTATAGAAATATGATAAATCGAAGATTTGTTGTTGTTGAATTTCAGCTCATGGTGTTGAAACATGTGTGTTGTTGTAATAATTAGGTTTTTCTGATGGACAATAACCTTTGATAAATATTATTTTTTGTTAATATACAAATTCTTTACCAAAAAGGACTATCTATATTTAAAGATAAAGGCTCACGAAATCACCCAAGACGGCCAAACTTTTTGATACTACACGCGATCAAATGCTTTTATAACAACATACAGCTTCCTAAATTAATGGACAATTGAAGTTATTTTGTGTTGGAATTAATTAAAAATCGTCTTTTCAGCTTATTAATATCACTTGAGCCAATCGATTATCAAATTCTGGACAAACGAAGCTTTCATTTGTAATTTATTTCTGCACAAAAAGCTTCGCCAAGCTCTATCACTTGAGCAGTGGAAAGTTTTTAGCTGATTACAAGCATAAATATGTATCATAAGCTGCCATTACTCAAATTCGCCAAGTATCATATGAAAACTTATAAATAATTGCATGTAAGTACGGGTTGTTCTCATGTAATGCGATAAGGCAACAGAGAGTTCACAAACAGAATACGTATAGTAAGAGAGCCGGAAAGAGAGAGCAAGCTCCATGGGGGTACGCGGCTCTCCATAGCTAACGCCCCCCGATCCAGGGTATAAAAAGCTGCCGCCCCCGGCCAGCGGACTTTCAGTGAGCATCGATCCACAAGTGGAGGTGTCAGAATCCGAGGGATCTTAAGTAATACCATGTTCTCGAAGCTATCAACCCGCGGCATCGCCACCCGCCTGAGCTGCTTGGCCCAGAAGGCAGCTGCCCAGGAATCAACCGCATCCGCCGGATCCCTCTCGGAGGCCGTCTACGCCCGCGAAAACAAGTACGGCGCCCACAACTACCACCCCCTGCCAGTGGCCCTGACCAAGGGCGAGGGCGCCTTCGTCTGGGACGTCGAGGGTAAACGCTACTTCGACTACTTGAGTGCCTATTCGGCTGTTAACCAGGGACACTGCCATCCGAAAATCGTCAAGGCCCTAACCGAGCAGGCCTCCAAGTTGGCCTTGACATCCCGGTAAGTGAACGAAAGAAAATTGTGGCAACATATAGCCACAGAAACAATCAAAATTTGTTTAGAGAACCAAGACGTGCCCCCTCGAGAGCTTATCTCTTAGCACCAAGAAGCTTTATCAGACTGATATATATTAATATTTTTTGGGGTGGACTTATGGTTCTTCATGGAACCAAGGTAGTTTTGTATAGAAAAAAATATTTAAATATTTTAGAAATGGAATATTTGTGATATTTACAGTACTTTGATTTAATTCTAATTAAAACAAGCAATTGATTGTTCCTATCTTTACATAAATAAACTTGCCTAATTTTAGAGTCTAAAAGTCCATGCTAATCTTTATAGTTGTGTTGTTTTGGAAACTTTTTGTTTACTCAAGCTCAAGTGCTGGCACAGAGTTTCCTATATTCTCCTTCTGTTGTCAACTGAAAAATTAAACTCAATGATTCGTTAATAATTGTTGGTCCTAAAGCTAATTAAGTATTTGATAGCGAATGTCGAGGGTGTTTCTTTTTTATTGTGTCTGTATTTGATTAAATACATGAAACCTACATTTCTGGAGGCATTTAAAATCTACATTTAAACTAAATTTCCAGACTAATAAAAACCTTTAGAAATCAAGTAAATAGATTTCAAAAATGTCATGTGATTGACAAATTTCCTAGCCTCTATAATTGGAAAAAATATGCTTTTGTTTACTACCCAAGCTGCTTTATTTTTAACAAATATATATATGTATGTATATACTTTAGACGGCGATAACCCCCCACGGATTATTCTGAAATCTTATCAGCCCAAAGTACATACACAAACATATATAGAAATTCTCACTTGTCTGTCAGAAATAAATTTATTGAATTATTCTATTGCACTCGAGCTCTCAACGGAGGTGACATTCTCTTTGCCGGTTTTATTTGGTTTCCCTTGGGTTGCCAGGTCCAGATTGTGAGGTTGAGTGGGGTTATAAAGTCACTTAAGTTCGTTGATAATCGGAGATCGATAGCTTGTTATTGTTCGTTGCGAATTCTTTATATAGAACCCTGTATGATAACCCAAATAAGCCCAAGTTATCAACAGGCAAGAGTTATATGTATGAATATTTTTGGAAATAATTATAGATAGTATTCTGTTGGGTTAGGACGATGTCTTTTATAATGTGGGAATATATTAAGTTAAGTTCTTTCTTCTTTTTATCTTTTATTGAATTGAAACTTACCACTAACTACGGAGTTAAACAACGATAAATATCTTGTTTTCTTGTTTATACTTGTGTATTTATTTAAGATAATCTTTAAATATAGTATATTAATCTATCCAGTGCCTTCTATTCGGATGTCCTTGGAGAATACGAGGAGTATGTCACGAAGCTCTTTGGATACGACAAGGTCCTGCCCATGAACACCGGTGTCGAGGGTGGAGAAACTGCCTGTAAATTGGCCCGCAAATGGGGATATCTGCAAAAGGGCATTCCCAAGAACCAGGCCAAGATCATCTTCGCCCGGAACAACTTCTGGGGCCGCACTCTGTCCGCCGTTTCCGCCTCTAATGACCCCAGCAGCTATGAAGGATTTGGACCCTTCATGCCAGGCTTCGAACTGATTGATTACGATAATGTTACTGCGCTGGAGGAGGCGCTCAAGGATCCCAATGTGTGCGCCTTTATGGTGGAACCCATTCAGGGTGAGGCCGGAGTGGTGGTGCCCAGCGATGGCTATCTGAAGAAAGTCCGGGAGCTGTGCTCCAAGCACAATGTTCTCTGGATTGCCGATGAGGTGCAGACGGGATTGGCAAGAACAGGAAAAATGCTGGCGGTAAATTACGAAGAGGTCCAACCAGATATTCTGATCCTGGGCAAAGCCTTGTCCGGAGGCATGTATCCCGTGTCTGCGGTCCTCTGCAATGACCAAGTTATGCTCTGCATTAAGCCCGGCGAGCACGGATCCACCTATGGTGGCAATCCCTTGGGCTGCCGGGTGGCCATGGCCGCTCTGGAGGTCCTACAGGAGGAGAAACTGGCGGAGAATGCCTATAAAATGGGTGCGTTGCTGCGCAAGGAGCTGTCAGGTCTTCCCAAGGAAGTGGTTTCCGTAGTTCGCGGAAAAGGACTTCTCAACGCCATTGTCATTAATCAGAGTAAGTACTTACAGAGTCCGAATAATGTGCCTTGCTGATCCTTGAACTTCTTTCCAGAATACGATGCCTGGCAGGTGTGCCTGAAGCTCAAGGAGAACGGTCTCCTGGCGAAGCCAACTCACGGGGACATCATCCGATTCGCCCCACCTCTGGTCATCACTGAAAGCCAAATGCGAGAGAGCATTGACATTATTAAGGGGACCATTCTGTCCATGTAGATCTTCGGACAAGAGCTCATGTTGTGGCTCAATATTTTAAAGCTAATTTTTTCGGTTAAGTTTCTTTTGGGAAGTCTGAAATAACATACATTGTTATAATGCCTGTATAACAAGGCCTAGAAATGTACAAAATAAAAACGAAATCATATTCTATTATCAATTATTAATGAGTTTACTCAAATGAATAAATAAACATATACCTTATTGGGCTTGTTATAAAAGATATGTATGAAATATCATATTTTTGGGTTCCATTTGATTGATGTTCTCATTATATAAATCATTGTCTTAGCGAGGACTATGACTGAATCCGAAAGAACACTCTTGACATCTTTAACAAGTATATATGTTCTATAGAAATAACCAAGGATTGAGTCCGTTTAAAGCTTCTACAATTATACTACAGCGAAATTGGTACCAACAAAACATCATAGCATACTTTGGGAGACATTTTAGGGTTTTTTAAAACTTTCGAGATTTATGGTATGAAAAATTACCTCAGACCTTAAAGTGTTACATGTTTACAATTATTGTCGAGTCTGATTACCCCCACTTTCCATATCGACAACTGGCACTTTCCAGCTATACCACGCCCAATATCCGCTTATAAAAGTCAGATGTAATCTAAACCATTTCAATTTGCTCGACTGTCTGCTGCCTGCAGGCGCCTTGGGCAGACATTCAGGAGTCAAGCTCAGGACGAGCAGGTTCCGCCCACTCCCACACCTGTCAAGGATGTCACAGTTAACACCCGGAGACGCTGCGTCCCCAGTCCTTGTGCTTCTCCACAGACTTGGCCTGTCGCCTGGCATATTGATTTTAAAGATTAAAATCAGCTCCAGGAACAACAGGTGACAAGGCAAATGATGCGCATAAGTAGGCTAAGTATCCCATGGGGTAAGAAAATAAATAAAGAAACAGGGGTTGGATGGCCAATAACAGCAATTCGATTTGTATTTGATTTTTATTTGTATCGCTTACATCAGGTGTCGAATTTGTTTGTCGGAAAATGGCGAGTGGGAGAATCTCTTTACAGCTAATTAAAAGTTTGCGCATTAAGAAAAACGAATAAGACATAAACGCTTATCTTTAAAGCCATAAAAAGTAAGCAACTCTCGCAGCAGGACCCTCGTCTCCAACCCTTGTCCTTGGGTCAAGTGTTAACGCTTAAAACTAAATCTTATGCGTCTGGCCTTTTGTCCGAACCCAATTTGAATGTGAAAAGAATGGGGGAAAATGCTGAAACTGTGGCTTCTTTTTTTTTGTATTTTTTCGGGGTGTCAAAAGCCACACGACACTGGACCTTCCACGAGCTTCTCCTTTGTAGTCTGCCCATAATCTTTGCCTTTTTATCGCCGCCCATCTGTTGAAGTCTTTATTAAAAAAAAAAGTAAACCGAGAGCGAAAGTAGCTGAAAAAACTGGAGTTTTTAGCCCATTTTTTGTTGGTTTTATTGCTCATGGAAAATGAGGGAAAGCAGAAACGGCACTCCTTAAGCATTTTATTAGCAAACTTCAAGTTGTCTCGTCTGCACATAATTAAATAAAGCGTTAACATTAAAAATCAAGATTTTCTCCTTTTTTTTCTTTTTGAAGGTCCTACCTAAGATTCCACGGAAAATATGTTTCGGAGAGCGGGACGGAAAAGGATACGCCTTGTGCTCTCCGCAAAGGACCTTTTCTCTCAGATAAGCATTACAATGTCGTTAATTCGTTTTCCTTTATGCCGCGGCTCGGAATTCCTTGGCCTAAAGTGCCGAGGCTGCGATAAGGGGCGAAAATGTTGCGACATTTTCCGCCTGGTAATTGTCCTTGGCAGGATGCGCGGTGTCCAAGTTTATTGCCTAACGACCGCGGCACGTTCCCTTCGTTTTTATATTTTAATTAAAAAGCTGCTCTGACACTGGCAGGGAGAATCGCGAAAATATGGTGGAAGAGCTGTCACTTTTCAGAAAGTAGTTCACTGATTGGACAGCGGCACATTTTTTCAAACTTTTGGCATCATTTACTTAATTCTTCGGACAGGATAGAGATTAAGGGCATCTTCTTAATATTAGTTGTCTTGTTAAAAAATACCATTATAGAATTACAAAGAAAATAATAAATAAGAATTAAATGTAAATAATATATACAAATGGATAAGAGGCCCTTAACCAAAATTTCAAAAACTGTCAAAAAATTATAAAATGAATATTTTACTTCCCAAATTAACATTGAGAAAACTTGTCTTGAAGGGGAAAGCATCACTTTTAGGATTATTCTTTAATTGATATTTAAATTTCGAATGTATTTTATTTATATAATATAAATTCGCTTTCCTATTGCCAATCGATAAATCCATAATCCCCATATATTAGATCGCTTTGATGAAAACCACTTCTTTAACAGGAATTTCTTGCGAAATTCCGATCGTAAATTTATTAGAGCTTAGCCTGCACTGACACTGACACTCTCCCATATGTAATGCACACAATTTTCGTTTATTAAGGGGATTTGGCAACCAAAAAAAATAAACGATATAAAAGTATTTTGGGGGAGAGAAATACAAGCCCAGAAAATGATAAAATAAAGAGCAATAGGCAAGATGCAAAAGTAGCTTATTACTAGGAGGGTGCAAAGTGAGCAGACATGAAATTTCATTTTTTCTCCTTTTTATGGTAAAAAGCGTGGTGACGAAGTCCGGGGGATGGCAATAATTTTACGCTTATGACGACCATTGCGGCCCTCTTTTGTGTTAATAATCTTGAGGCATCCTTCCCTTACAAACTCTTGTTTTTTTTTTTTGTTGCCCAGATAATTACATTAAGATTTGAGGTTTTTTTTTCATTTATTTTTTTTATTCCGTTACGTTTTTATGACCTTCTTTTTGTGGCCACAAGGCAATGAAGCAATGAAGGGCCAATCACATTTTCAACTTGCTCTGTCCCCGCGATCGTTTGCCGCCAAATAAAAATTCAATTGTGCAGCGCATAGAACAATTATGACAAAAATCAAGTGCAAAAATGAGCACTCAGGACAAAGGGTTGAGTGCCGAGAGTTGAAGGACTTGCCTTGCATACTAAATAGTTCAAGGGTGCCCCGTTATAGCATACTCACGGGGTATATTGAACTTCAAGCACTTTGATTTTATATCCCGAAAATACTATATATGTATATGTACATATGTATTTAAGAAGATGTTGGCATGTATTTTTCTTAAAGTTTACTAAAGCTTAAAACAAATTTATGCTAAATATATATAATTTTTAAGAATATGTAAAGAGGTTGAAATTGAAATTCCTAAATAGAGTTGAGTTTTGCTTTGAATCAGATCCGGAAGCAGGTCAAATAAATCTCTGCATCCTCATATATTGTTTGTAATTTTTGCTCAGTTTTGGTGTTTTTTTTTTTTCAAATTCATGAAACCGAAACATTTTTAAACTTCTTTGCTCTGAGAACTTGTTCATCAAATGCTTAATTTTCAATATATAGCTTTGTAAATACACAAGTCCTAATATACAAATAATAAAGCTAATAATAAAGTTTACCTCGAACTAGAAAAATATCTTAGTCTTGTCCTACAAAGTAAAAAGGATATGAAATCAAACAAAATCATTTTCCTGTAACCCAGAGACTTGGTATTTGCTTGAACATTTTTAGACATCTCAGTTAATGAAATATTAATGGAAACTCAGTCAAGTTTCTTGTGTACATCGTTTCACATATCAGAAAACCAGGTAACCGATAGTCGAATTTTTGTGGAATCGCGCTTTTATTAACATTTTTTGGCTTTCAAAGTACACACAATTCCCAAAGGCAAATCACGTCGAATCAGTGGCATCCCGGGACAGGCAACACATTTTTAAAACGCCCAGAGGGACACGTGCATTAAACAGCCCGAAGGACGACGCCAGGACACCAGGACATCAGAGCAGAACGAGAGTAATTTACAAAACTCGTCGGCAGTTGACTTCGACGCGTTTGCCCGTCGTGCAATTAGGCAATTGCCCTGGTCTGTGTGGGTGTGTTATGTAATTGACAAAAAATGACATCCAATTGTGGAGCACAGAGAGGAGCGAACGCAAAAATAAACCAAAAATTGATTTTTGTGTAATGAGTCCGAAGGTCCTGTCCAGGCAACTGCAACCGGCCGCGTGTGTGCTTTACTTTTTGTACATTTTATTTATTTTTCTTTTTTTGGCCTGTCGCATGCCGGCTGCATATTAAAAAGTGCGTGATGCTTTCGCTGACCGAAACGCTGGGCGCAGGGCTGTCAATTTTTATGAAGTTAAATTCTCGTCCGATTTTTCTGAGCAGCGCGGCGGCGGCTGGCGAAAAGGTGTTGCATGTAATGAAGCGCATAATTTTAATTGGTTTTTGTTGGATTTAATAAAGCGTTATTAATGTAGCAACGCCAAAAGGCTATGAACGGCCTGCAGTAACAGTTTGAACCATATTTACAATGCCCTTTTTGGGATTAAATTCATAAATACATATATATGTATAATATAAAGCAAAACATGTAAGCCAAAATTGAAAAACTGTACAAATTTTATATATGTTAAGCATATTTATTCATATTTACATAGACTCTAAATGTTAATAAATTGGATGAAGACAATACATTTTTGTAGTTTTATTATTATGAAATAAATATTAATTTTTTATTTTAATTATACAAAAGAATAAAAGTTACTTGCCCAACAAATGAGGAAAAAGGGAATAAAATCAATTTTAAGTATATTATCCTCACTAACTTAAATTAAACGATTGGCTTGAGATTCAAATTGGTTTTACAAAAATGAATTAAAATTTGTTTTAAATTTAAATGAATGCTTCAGAATACTAATACTGCAGCGAATAGTAAATTTCAATTTTATTATGTGTTTTATTTGTTTATAAAATCATAAAGTTTTCATTTTATTGCTAGAAAGTGCTAAGAGTACATTAAAGTAAACTATTTTTATGGCCATATTCATACATATATCATGTATATATGTGTTGACTGAAATAATATGAGTAGATCTGTTAACTGATTTTAATTACCGATTGGGAATTCGAAGTAGTTTTTCTTCCGATTAGACCCTGTTAACATACAAATTGGGAACCATTCCTAATTTTAAAATATTGATTGAGATTCTGCCAATAAGTAAGCCTTTAGTTTTGACATACAATTATACGCTGAGTATAAATGGTTTGATCGCCAGGTTAAACTATTGCCAAAAGGTTTAAAAAAAATATAGGCTCTACAATCAAATAAAATTTAAAGAATACATTGAAAATTATTAACATTATTTAAATTTTAAATTAAGATTGATTCCGATTAGTGCAATATAATAATATGATAATTATAATGGAAATAATAAAATATAATAGATAATAATTACACATTTACGGAACTCCACCGAGACACCTATTAAAACTTTAACAATAATTACTACAACAATTTCATAAGTTTAAAATAAACTCCCAACTTGAATAATATAACAAAATGACATTTAAAAACCGCGCCGATTGTTTATGCTATTAATATTCCTTTCCCTCCTCTTTTTTATGGTCATTTAATTATGTATTTTATCGCGCAGATTACGGTCATACTTTATGTATTTTTTCCTGTAGCAAACACGGCCTCTCTTTTCTTCTAAAACGCTAGATTTCTATAAAAAATAAGCTTACAAAAAAACGAAATAAAAATATAGCTACTGCTGATGAATTTTCAACCTAATTAAAATAATAAGTAACGTTAAAAAATCTATCATAGACGAAAATGCGAACACAAAGACGAGAATTCTTCCCCATGTATCCGTAAACGTGTAAAATGTGATATTGACATGTAAGATGTAAAATTTTACGTAACGGCAAGTTTAAAAAAAACAAATATAACAACATCGATATTTGGGCAAACTAAGCATCGATATGTCAAGGACCGACACCCGATAGCCAACGAGAAATTCGACCCCAAAAGTGAGAAATCGACTCCATGTATCTGTAAGCGTGTAGAATGGCTTTTCATTCGCTTAAGTTGTAAAATGTTAAATAACAGCTCCTGACTTTAGAGTGACCAAAAAAGTTTTTAAAAATTATCCACAAATTGGGCAAAAGAAAAACAAATTGAGAATAAAGATATTGTTATTTTGATATAGAAAATAATTTAATTTCTAATCCACTGGTGCCTGACGTGCTCTTGCGAGTCGAAAAATGTCGAAGCAACGCGCCACAGAACATAATAACAACGATGTGATTGACGTGGACGACGACGACGAGGACGAGGACGTGCAATTTGTGGGAATCGTCCGCCCCATGACCACCATTGATCTCTGCCTGTCGCCTTCGACTTCCGCGGCGGCTGCAGCTGCCGCTGCAGGAGGAACTTTAGCAAGAGCTTCCGGAGGTGATCCTCATCAAGATCCTTCATCTCCTGCTGTGACCACACCCCCAGGTGTTGTCTCAGCCCCTACAACGCCAGATGCAGCTGGCAAAAGCATCAACGTGGAAGCAGGTAAGAAGCCACTAACGAACCCCAAATGTTTGTACAAAATGATCTTTTTTTCCCCTGCAGCAACAACTACTTCTGGCGAGGATTCCTCATTACCATTAGCTGCTGCTGGTGCCCTGGAGTGCCCCATCTGCTTGCAAACCTGCATCCATCCAGCACGTCTCCCCTGTGGCCACATCTTTTGTTTCTTGTGTGTTAAGGTGCGTAGTTCCAACACCCAACAGCGGAAGCTTTTTTCAGCCTATTAGCAATGCGGACCGCATCGTCGAATTGGTGGAATTTGATTTTTTGAGCAGCACGTAGTCAAGTTCAAGGCTGTTCTCAACCCTTTGGTGACGACTCGCGCCTGACTGATTGATTAGCATGCCTGGCAAAGACCCAAACTCACTGGCATTATGAAGTTAGATTGGCTTCCGGCTGGCAACTTGTCAACTGCTTTCCGCTCCGGACACATTCAAACAGTTTAGACCAGAGACAAGTATGCGATTAGCACTAGAGTGCATTTTCCAGTTCCTAAACTTGTTTACTTAGCTTGGACGTGAGTAAATGCCAATTTGAGGCGATCATTTACACATTTAATAATCCACATGCAGTTAAGTGGGTTTTTGGGGCTTGCTATATAGATAATGAAAACAATTATCAACTGCATCGAATTTATTCCCAACTATATAATACTCATGTGAATGAATTTGTTTTAAAAATACGTATTTCCGACCAATTGACAGGGTGTTGCCTATAAGAATCGACGCTGTGCAATGTGCCGCCGCGAGATCCCCGCCGAATTCCTGGACCATCCACAACTGGTTAATGGCATCGAGGACATCTGCACCACGCGAGCTACGGAAGACGGATACCAATGGTACTATGAGGGTAGGAACGGTGAGTAGAATTACGCTTCTGGTGTCGGCCGCCCCTCATATCCCATAACCCCCACCGAAAACACACACGCACCATGCACATCTAGGTGGCTGGTGGGCCTACGATCCTCGGACCAACGAAGACATCGAGATCGCATATGCTGGTTATCTAAGGTACAAGACGGCCAAGCCACCGATCATCCCAGAGGATCACAATCCAGCGAATCCCATTCGTCCTCCTCCCGAGCCAACGGAGCCGGCTGTCACCGAACCAATGTCATCTATCCTAGGTGCAGCGCCTGGCAATGCTGCACCTTCTTCCTTTACCGAATCTTCTATAGAGCTAAACGCAGATGATTCCGAAGACGAAACAATTGAAATGGAGGATGAGGATCGTGATTCGATCTTTGGTGACGACGCCTTCGACTACGATGCCTCGGCTGAGGACGATTGGCAGAGCAGCGCCTCCGATGATCTATCCGAAATTGGACCGCATGCGGGCAGGTTGCATCAGCAGATCTGCGGGGAAATGTACGTTATTGACTTTCTGAAAATGAAGCAATATCCCCGCTCGAGCCCCGATAGGCGACGCAATATAATGCGATGCAAGAGCACCGATGCAGTCCCAGGCGTAACCAAAGGCGTCGCTGGGCTCAGCAAGCACCTAAGATACAAATAAGCTTGATTAAATCACCCACCCACCTACTCCTAATCCCCTCCACATTCCTATTCCCACAACTACATCCTAGGCAGAAAATCAAACTGTGATTCAGAGGTTGAAAGGCGAAGATCCCAAGTCCCATTCCAAACTTTGTTTGCTCTTGTAAATATGTATAACCGCAGGTTGGTGGCAATATGATGATCGTACTAGTCAGGACATCGAGGAGGCCTTCAAGAAGGGCGACAAGTCATGCACTATCCTGGTGGCCGGCTATGTCTACATAGTGGACTTGGAGCAGCTCGTACAGCAACGCCAAAACGAACCCACTCGTTGTCGCAGAGTTAAGCGGGATCTGGCCACCATACCTAAGAAGGGGGTGGCCGGTCTCCGCATCGAGGGCAATCAGGTGACCAGTGACACCGTCTTCAGTAGGACAACCAGCACAGCCTCTCCAGCCACCGTGGCAGCAGCTGCCTCTAGTTTTATATCGACGATTGCAGCAACGGATGCGGCCATTAGGATTGCTAGCGACATCATCGGATCCACGCTGGCACATGCGGATGAGCTCACTCGAGGATTGACGGCCAGCAACATTAGCGATGACCCCAGCAGCAGCAGCAGCAGCAGCGGTGAGCAAACCAATTCCACAAATCCGCAGATAGCAGGCCGCTCGCCTGCCTCCTCGCCGTCCTCAAGATCAATGCAGGACCTCATCACACAGGACTTGAGAAATACCCAACAGGTGATTGCCCACAATCAGCATACCATAGATCTCTTCGAGCAGGCCTTGAACGACTTCCAGGCATTAACTATGCGCAACTACGTGGACACTAGCGATGAGGAAGATGAAAACGGAGCTCAGGAGCGAGAGCAGTTGGAGGCAGGCGAGCAGCCAAAGTCCACCGATAAACACCAGGGATACTAGATATTACATCCAATTGGCAGCTTAGCCCCTTAGCTTAAACCTGAAGAAAAGATCAATGTTCCTTTTAGCAGATTTCACTATACGGAAAAGGGAATGTTAACTAGAGCAATGCAGCGCGTACCTGAGAATACATATATCAACTAACATAAAGAGCGTTGAACAGGAACAGAGTAGAGAGAGGGAGAATGTCCAAACAGGGTAAATCAACCGCACATATTTCTTAATATTAAAAAGAAATGGGAAGGCATAGTAATAGTTTCAACGCCGGTTGAAAATTCATCTTCTTATTTAAGGACTTTGTTTTAGCCCATCAAAATCTAAGAAGTGTAGTACATGAAACCAAGTCACCAAAACACTTCATGTAATTGCTATTATCCCATAGATTCTGATATTTTTTGTATACAAAATTATTTTAGCTAAAACTGCACACATTTTTCCTACCCTTCCAATAATTATAATTATAAATAATTAAAAGGACATTGCAGTATACTCAGGCATGAGCTATAAACGGGATATCAAAGTTATCCACCATTTTCCCTCGTTTAAATATTCGGTTCCTCGAAAGACCCGCCTCGTTGCTAGCTGACAGGAGATAAAGAAGCAACCACCAGGAAAGCGTAGTGTGAAAACGACAATATACAAGTTTTGGGTTCCACTTGAAAGGGGTTGAAGTCTCCAATTGATTGATTTTCAGTGCGTTTCTTCAATGAGAATGCCTTTCCTTTTGTTACAGACTAATTGCATTTACAAAACTCGCACTTAAAACTTACAGAAAAACAAACACACTACACTTTTGTTTCGAATCTTCCACATTTTCGAAGCGCACTGTCTAAATTGGACAGTATCTGACCCAGTATTAATTATTAAGTCGCCTTTAAGTGCGTTAAGCAAACAAGTTCTGTGACAGTTGAATATATTGATATTTGTATTAAGTTAACATATAGAAGTATTAAAATAAATAAACGGGTAGTAGCAGTAGTAATGACCATTAATAGTGCTTATGTATATTATGTGCTCCGAAGGATATATGTACATGCAAACAAACGCCTAAATTAATAATCTCAATTTTGTGACTACTATTTATAGATTCGTTTTCGATATGTATCCCGCCATTACTCCTAACAGCGAAATGCGTATTCGTTGCTTCCCTAATATCTACGATATACCTAAAGCTCTTCTGAATCAACCCGACTCCCGACCTCGAAACAACCCCTCCCGGTAATATCAATGATTTTTAAAATACTTACCCCTCATCTAGTGACCCAACCATTGCAATGCTCATTCCTAAACGCATCCTCCTATCGCATTTCGCCCTTCTTTGATCTTGATAACGCTTCGCTATCGCACAACTGACAAAGAATGAAATGGCCTTAATATCATCATTAGCATCAAATAACTGGAACACAGATATCATTTCCCTGCATTGTGGTGGCAGGTCTAAGAAAACAATTAGTACTTATTGATCATTTAGCTTATCAACAATCAAAACCAAAATGTGCCAAGCTACATTATTTTAAAAAGCACTCGCTACCGGTTTTTGACAGCACCAAGAGCATATAATTAATATTAACAGCACGTAGCATCGTCTGTCTTTATTATACTTAAATTAAATTAAATTATTAAGCATTTACAACTTAGTTGATACAAAATGTTTAAGAAATAGATTTTTGCTGAATCTGATTAATGTCGATTGTAGTAGTTTAGGTCCTAAGACATGTCAAATGTGTTTAAGTCTGGTAATAAAAGCAATTCACGAGAAATGTGTGAATTATTATTTATGTAAACACTTTTTATTGGAAAAATAAATACAATACAAGTTACATACAATTATATAACACTTATATGATCTTACATTTTGTTGTTCTCTTTATTTTTAAGTTGTGAAAATAATTATAAATCTTACATTTTAATAATAGGCTTCCAGCACAAGTTCGAAGTTATTCAGACTCTAAAAAGTAAAACTAGCAGACCCGACGCGATCTCGCCATGACCCTTAACTTTTCAGTTAACATTTTATATTCATATTTCAACTAATATGTTTCACATTGGAAATTAACAATGGGAGCGATCGATATAAGACTAGCAATATCAGCTAAAGTCCGTTGTTTTTAATATGTTTATATTAATGTTTTATGCATTTTTCCCAGTGATACTTTTCATTTGACCAAAATCAATACTAATCGTAAACTGCTAATGTGTGTATATAAACTCTGGCTTGCCGAGGCTATCTCGCTTTTTTATACTCCTGCAGGATATTATAATTTTTATTCAAAAGTTTGCAACGCAGTGAAAGTATAAAGTACATATATGTATGCTTGATCAGCATCAACAGCCAAGTCGAGCCAGCCATGAAATAATATAATATAATACTATATACAATATAACTTTTCTAGTTTTTAACATTTTTTTATAAACCTTAAGTTGTTAGAGAGCACAAACAAATTTAACTTATTTACAAATTTTCATCTATTTTAAGATATATTTATTTTTTATTATTTTAGAATTTTGGTTTTAATTTTATTAGAATCAAGAGACCATTTTATAAAGCTACAATAAAAACTATCATTAAATGTAAAGGAAAATAGCAAACTGTAACTGTAAAACTTGAAATAGGGGACTGTAATGAAATTAGCCATTACTCCTTTATTAAATATATATAATTTATATTATATTATTTATTAACGATTGAATTGCAATCTGCAAGGGTATACAAACTTCGGAGTGTCGAAGTTAGCTTCCTTTCTTATTTTCTTATAACATTTACCCAAAACGATCCTTAAATCTATACCACAAAAGGATATAAATACAATTGGTGTAAAAACAGCGATCCTCAAAGAATATGTATCTCGATCGATCTTTTTATCTGGTTCCACCCTTAATAAAGATAAAGAACGTGCTTGACTTGAAATGAAATCCTCATACCCCTCTTTGTGCCACTGATTGAAGGGAATGGAAATGGAACCTGCAACTTGGAGGGGGATCTGAGATCCTGGACTCTGGACCCTGACCGTCTGCAAATACCAATACCATGTTCTACCTGAAACCCGATGACTCATAGCGCGATGGACCAAAAGAAAATGCCTGAAAGGCACACATGCAGCATAACAATTTATTGGACAATGTGTTGGTCAAGTGATTATGTTGGGAGGGGGACTGAGATATTTCACCGAGAGAAAAATCTTTATTATATCAGATATCCAAACATACTGTATTTAATAACAATTAAGAATAAGTGAATATAAAGGTTTATTATGTAACCCATAAATCTGTACATCATACCTGTAGTCTAAAATTGAAACTACATTTAATTTATTATTATTATCCGTGCGCAATGCAATGTTACTATAGTCTCGTGTCATAAATATTATCAAATGCGAAAGTTCTTAAGTTTAAAAGTCAATTAGGAAAGGGAAGAAATTTTACATTTTATTATTAACATATTTAAAATAATTGCTTTTTAAAAATGACGTTAATAGATTAGTACAACAATAATCCGAATTTTTGTTCAGTGTCTAAGAGACCAGCAATGCGATCATGTCCCATATACATACTTGGTCTCCAAAAGAATTCCCTCTTCTTCCGAACTAGTGAGTCATCTTTGTTTACGTAGTAGAAATTATGCTACCTGCTGCATTATTTTCAGCTTCTACCTGTTGTACAAAGGTGTGGAGAAGGGGAATTGGTTATTTACCCAGAGTCAACCTTTTTTTAAGCTCTTCTCTTGTATAACAACACATTGATGACGGACGGACCGTACTCTTATCAGTATCAAATTGCATATTTTTCTTGGAACGCTTTAAATAGTACTCTTAACTTGGATTGCATCCCTATAAATTCGTAAATACACTCATATAATTTTATATCATTAATATTTTAGCACTCTTATCAGCTAAAAAATATCCAAATACAGTGATTAAGAGTAGATGCCTCGTATTTAAATGTGTCATATTTTAACTCGTCTTTAGGGAAAATAAATACATATTGTACATATGTATGTATGTATGTATCCTTGCCTAGATGCTTAACAAAGTTCAAAATTTACTTTCTTAGAAGATGTAAAGGATCATTATTGCACCCACAAGGGGCAGAATAATGTTGTATTTTTTAGCTACATAGCTTCTGTCAAAAGTTGTATCATTTATGAACCATAGAAATTTGGCTCTTAATAAAAGAGATGTGTACGAGAATGCTAATTTGGCACGAATTATATCATGTTTTTAAAGTAAATTTAACAATTAGGCTATTTCGCCAAAAAGAATGTCTATGATGCAATGAAAAAAGAATATGTTTTAGTTCAAAATATGATAAGAAACAAAAGTGATATTTGAGGAGTACCAACTTTTAACGATTTTCTTTCATAGCGACACCTTAGGTTCCTTTTTTCTTAAAATTACTTGTTAAGATTGGAAAAATTTTGTTAGTCTTTATTATTGTTAGTCTTTATTCTTTATTGTCGCCTGTTGTCGGAAAAAGTAATGTTACAAATGTAAATAAAAAAAAAATTTAAGTCAAACAATTTTCCTTTAAAATCCATACAGCTCGAGAATTAGAAAACAATTTTGGCGGACTACAGCGACTGTTAGTAAAAGCACTTTTACTACTCCTGTCGGAGCTTAATTACCAATACTGTTTGCACCGTAAATTTAATTTTAAGTCATTCGCTTTATTTTCCAGAGTTTTGCGGCAAGAGCTCTCACGCAGCTGCCAAAAAGCTTGGGGCCACAGAACATGATCATGCACGTTTTGGAGCCAAGCTTTTCTGCTAAGCCAGCTTCAGTTTAAAAAACAATAACAAATACATAAATAAAGAAAACCAGTGGATAACAACGACAACACAGGCGACAGCAGAACGAGCGGAATGCCTTGCAAGTGCTTGGTGGGTAGTTTGGTTGGCCATGGATGGCTCTCTCTCTCCCGTGAGCTCTCGTTCTCCCGCACACATGCGCAATGCAACCTGCGCTCCAAACTGGTTTTGGGGGAGGAAATCCGTCAGAGACCGCTTGAGAGCGGATTTGGTTTCGGCCCAAAGCCAGCAGCCAGTTTTTTGTTGAATTTTTCAGTTGATTTGTATCTACCTTTGGTGCGGACGGTTGGTCGGAATAAACGCGTTTTCGTAAACCAGTCTTTAATTGTTTCATTTCAAGTTAAAATCAATTTAAAGTCCAGCACCAGTAAGCAAATCAATGTAAGAAATAGTGCATGCAATGCAATTCGCAATGGAAAATGGCTGGAAAAGTGTGCGATATCTGTGAAAAATGTGCAAATACAAGATATTCGTTTATTGATTTTCTTGGCCAAAAGAGCAAGAGGGAACAAAAAGCACAAGAAAAATAAGAGGAAGAAACAGCAACAGCACAAAGCTGCGCTGTACGGCTTCCAAGGTGTGAGTGAGATACCACGAGCGAATGCGTGAACGAGATGGAAATAGAGAAAAGTGAATTGTGTGTGTGTGTCTGTTTGGCGAAGTTTCAGTGTTGTTTTTTTTCATGTTCTAGCTTTGGCCAAGTTAACCGAAGAGAAAAAGAGTAGAAGTAGAACCACCAACAACAAAATACATGTACATACATACATATATATAAATGTATGTACCTCAATGTGCGCTTGTGTGCTTGGTAGTTCTTTGTGCAATTTACCTTTTAAAGGCATCGTAAAAATAGTTTGAAAGTGAAAAAAACACATGAAATGCGAAATGCAAAACCAATAATTGTAAAGTGTAATTTTTCCTCTTCGTCGCAAGCTCTCTTTGACTTTGTGACTCGTGGCTTTTGCGTGGGCGCCATAAGATTTTCTTTCATCTCGTTCGCTCTTTCGCACGCATATCCTGTGCTTTTCGCCGTTTGACGTCGTCGCTTTTGTATTGATTTTCGCCATTCATTGATAAAGGATTTCCATTCTACGCGTGTGCGCGTTCTTGTGCAAGTGAAAGGAAGTTCCATGACCACCAATTGATTGATTTCACGCGTTATCTTTACGTACCTACAGAAACTTCGTCGTAAATAAAACCACTCCAACTACTTGACCAGCATGTCGTAAGATTGAATTAAGGAAACCAGACTCGAAACCCAATCCTGGACAATGCAGCCGTTTGGCGACAGTCTGAGCAAGAGTCGCGATGATCTGGTCAATGGTGCCACCGCCGCATCCAGGAAGCAGCAACAACAACAGAATCTGTATGGCCGAAGGCGACACCACGGCAGCAGTCCCAACTTGTCGCTGGATCAGACGGATAACCTAAGGAGAAGGTGAGTGGCTATCTAACATCGGGACTGTTTAAGTTTTAAGACTCACATCCTATAAAAGGCTGATTAATATTTAGTAAAATGACACCTGTTTAGCCAGGGAAGTCGACCTTCATTGCACTGTTCTACAAAGTATTCATCAGGTTGCACGATCAGTACCCATAAAAATCTATAATTGATTTAACTCAATGACAAGTAAACCTGAAAACCTGATAGGCACGGGAGTGAATTTGGAAATTTTGGGAGCATCAACATCAGATAGTTTCCGTTTAATGAATCTAAATAGAAATCGGTGCAAAAAACCCCCTAGCAAATTATAAATAAAGCAAAATAAACACGTGCAAAGCTAAAAGCTTGTGGTGAAATGATAAAAGTACAGTGGTTACTGGCTAAAGAAAAATATCTTTCTTTGGGACAGAAAATATAAGAAAGTGGGAAATCAAGTTTTAATCTTTGCCTTTACTAAAACTATTTCCAATGATCTTCCAAGGAGGAAAATTAATTAAACGCAGTTTAAACTTCGACATTTCTTACAT